CCAGCCAGCTCTGCTCTGTTGGCTGGAGAATTCTGGGAGTTGAAGTCCACAAGTCTTAAAGTTGCCAAGTTTGGAAACCACTGAGCTAATACAACAGCTGCATAGTATTTAGTGGCGGGAGTCACACAATTAGGATTTGTTTGGTTTTATTTGAAAATATTGGGTGTATCCAGGTTCCCCCCCCCCACATTTTTAAATTTGTATCTCACCTTTTACAACTTAAGGTGATGAACATACCAATATCTCATTCTATTTTTCCTAGAGCAAGAACCCTGCGAAGTGAGTTAGACTGAGAGAGAATGACTGGCTCAAGATTACCCAGCCAGTTATTCATACCTAGAACTCACTGTCTTCTTGTTTTTAGGCCAAAACCTTAATCGCTACACCAAACTGACTTTTTTTATAAATAACTTAATTTTATAATTAACCATAATTTAGTAAATTATGATTAAACAGGCATGGTTGAGCATGCAGGTTTGCATCCATATGCCTGCCAGCTTCTTTGAATTCCCAGTTGCTTATCCAGCCCTTGGATAACTTTATGTTATGCACTTTATGTCTCAGTTAGACTGGTGAATCACTCTGCCCTCCTTTACTACAATGAAGCAATAGGTAGCTATTCTTATTTGGCTGGTAGTGAAAACACGGCTATTCTAAAACTACGATTCCTTTACTTCCTTAGATGAAGATTATTCAGGTTGTGTATGTGCAGATATGTGTGTGAAGAATAATTGTGCTTTGGTAAGTGGCATGTATGCGTTTATAGTATGTATGGTGATGGGGAGCTTTTATGTGGTATATAGATATATATTATCAGTGTATTGAAGGAGAGGCTAAGTACATCCATGTTTTTGTTTGTGTCTAAAGGAATGGCTTGTGGGTAAGAAGGCTGTCCATTTGTATAGGTTTATGGGTTCACATGCTCCTGTGTGAGTTCATGTCAGCATGGGTTGATGTAAGAAATTCTGTGTATATGTGGGTGTGGGTGGGTGTTCATGGTTGAGTCCAAATTGATCTTGTAATATGTCTTGCATCTTTGCTAATTTTTATAATTGATACACCTTTTATAGAAGCTCCAAATGATACAATCTTTATTTAGTGAATAGCCCAAATTCTACCTTCTTCCTGTCCATCTTTAAGAACTTGTGGAATGTTTAAAAGATAATAGTGATGGTTAAAAATATAGTGAGAGTGAATGAAGGGATAATATCTAATGTGACAACACAGGATGAGATTATGCAGAGACTGATTTGTGCCTTTCAAATTTCAAGAAATTGGCTATTTTCAAGCATGCACACCTTCTACATAGCTCATGTACTAGCAATAGCACTTAGACTTATATACTGCTTTATATGCTTTACAGCACCCTCTAAGCAGTTTACAGAATCAGCATATTGGCCCCAACAATCTTGTTTCTCATTTTACCAGCCTTGAAAAGCTGGAAGACTGAGTCAACCTTGAACTGGTCAGAATCGAACTGCTGAGGTTGCCTGCAATACTGCATTCTAACTACTGCACCACCACTAACAAAACTGTACTGAAAAAATAAATGTGCAAACTACTTACAAGTTAATTCCTTCCCCTTGGTTATTAAACAAACCAACAGCTATAGTGAGTAGGACAAAAACCGGAAACATAAACATTCTATCATGATCTGTCCAAGATATGGACATACTTAGATATAGCAGACTTTGGAACAATGAAATGGGTGAACCTCATGTTGTAGTTTTGAGACCAAAAAAGGAGAGAGTCAATGTTTAGTGAAAAATAGATTGCATGTGGACTCAGTATATGTCTATGCACAGAATTGCATCTAAGAGGATGTGTGTCTGTATCAACATGCACACTCATGTAAATACACTGGATGTCTCCGGAAGTTCTGGTGCCAGAAAGGTTTACCTACTTGGGCCAGCCAATATTTAAGGTTAAATGCTTTCAGGAGCAGTTAACGATAGAGGAGAAAAGAAGTAAGCTTTGGATGGATCAATAATCCATGGATGAGAGCTCTCTGGGTACCCTGAGCATTCCCAGAAAAACGGCAAAGCACAATAAAAGAATGGAGGCAAAATCCAATGGGGAATATTCACCCCTTGAATCGCTACCTCAAGATATTCTGCAGAACTTGTCACTGGGATTCCCACTTGGTCTCCATTCCTAAGAATCAGTCCCTGTACTTGGCTTAGAAAGGCTTTTCACATCATGGCAATTTCAGATTCAGAAAAAAACATGACGGTTTTTTTTTGTTTTTTTTTTGTTTTTGGTAAAGACCAATTACACCCAAGCTGTCTGGATCCAAATTGCAGGAGTGAATAAGAAGCAAAGTAACAGTTCAAACTCTCTCTCTCACTCTGTCCCCAGGTTCTCTGCTTGGTTTTTGTTGCTCAAATTGTTATCAGAAAGAAACTGCTGGTGAATTGTTCCCAGCTGACATGCTTTGCTGCTTTACCACCAAACCATTGATATGGGAGAGGAGAAAACAGTGGTGGCTTTAATCTAGTCCGTCTGCCCTGCCCATGAGCATTCTACTGGCATCTAATGAAGTGTTCCGGTGTAACCATCAAAAGCATACAAAAATCAGTCACGAGTAAATTCCACAAAAGTGACTTCCAGCATGTTCCTACGATTACCCAACTATTGCTGAAGTACTGTAAAGCTAGCCCATGTTATTGTTATTTTGTACAATGATGGTTGGACAACTCTGGAAAATGCTATCAATCACTAGCATTAAGAGAGGGATATGCAGTACTGGGAGAATAAAACAACAGGGTCATTGTTTTTCATTCTGGTAAATGCTAGCTTGGCTCATATGATAAAACTGTAAGATCTATGTGCGTTCCCCTCCCCCATCCCCATTTCTTCAGACACAAAATACATTTTAACGTTGATAACTTCAAAGACCCTTCTGGAAGTTTTATTTCCCTTAAAGCACATAAAGCATTAAGAAAGAGCCACATTTAGCTTCTGGATGTCAATGTTTAAGCTTTTAATAGTGATCCTCCAGCTTTCTCAGTTGTATGCCAGGGCTGCGTGATACTGTAAGTTGAATTCTTTCCTTCTTTGATTTTACTCCCTCTTTTTTTTTTAATCTTCTCCTGAAATTGGACATAATTATCTACAAATTAACCAGTGCTCTCTAATGCTAGAGTTAGACAACCACATCTACATGTATGGCATTTCACAAACCACAAGGCGGTATGTTTTAAACTTCAACCCTGCGGAAAAAAACAGCAGAGGAAATGGGAGACTATGCCAAGGAAGGAGTAAACAAGGAAACCCTGCACAGAGAGATTCTTTTGTGGAAAGGAAAATCACAGAAGTGGTGACAATGAAGATTATAATGTTAGGAATGCTCATAAAAGTATGTGAATATGGCTAACTAGCTCACTGGAAGTCACCAGTTAAAGTTGCCATTAAAGTCCTGGGAAGAGATTCCAACGATTTCGGTGAAAAAGTTGAAGATTTTTAAGAGATCTGATAAAACCAAGATAGTTGTGCTTGCGAGGCGTTTCAAGTGTACAGGGCAGAAAGAAAAAAGGGGTAGGAGTTTTTTGAAGGAACAGGTGTCAGCCCTATAAGATAGACCACATTAAGAAACAAATGACATCTGTGTTTGTGGTGTTCTGATAAGCATTTTAATTAGAACAGTCATAGTAACAGAATTGTGTAAGTATGAATGTGCTTCCCTCATTTTGTCTTCATGTGAATTAGGGAAAATGTCTGAGGCATTTTCTTAATTTTTTTTTTCTTGGAATGCGCTCAAAATCAGGCTTGTCTGTTGTCTTGGAAACAGATCTTCCCACTGTCCTTCAAGGCCATTCTCTATTCCCACTACAACAGGAGACCTTCAGACAATACGAATTCACATATGACACACTAACCTTAATGTGGTTTGCATGGTTTTGGCTTAAAATGATTTATGAACCAAGCCACTGTGGGTTGTAAGCCATAGTCTTAATTTAACATAGTCTTAATACAATGAATAAAGCTAGCCAACTGAAGCTGATTCAATAAAATATACTGAAACAAATGAAGAGTTCCCACATAAAATGGACCATATTTGTGAATGACAATGGAGCTCAACATTAATATTTTTCTCTAAACTTCACAGAGGTTAATGCAAACCAGAACAACACAATTCCAGGGAAGCCTCTCTATTCTTCAAATATTTCTTACCAGCTGTGAGGGCGATGTTTCCTGCAAGACACAGAATTATTGGAAAAATGCCAGCGATAGCTTCGTGAGAAAGCATTTTCTCTGCAGAATAAAAAACAAAATGAGTTATTAATAAGGATACTAACAAGCACTTTTCAAACACACACTGCAATAAAACTTGTCATCTTAAAATATGTCTTGTGCCTATTTCTACACACACATCCTTTTTTTAAACGAAGGATAAACGTACAGAGTATGGTTATCCATCTGAGAGAAAGAAAGAAAAAAAACATCAAATAAAATAAGAGGGAAAAGATACTGTAGAGCTGGGAATTCTGCCAAGGAAACAAATGAACCGGACAAGACACAGTTGCTGAAATCATCTTAGGATAATTATCTCTATGGAAATGTTAGTGGTTCGTCTTTATCCTGACCATTGGGCTAGTCCAGGGGTCAGCAAACTGCGGCTCTAGAGCCGCATGTGGCTCTTTCCTCCCTCTGCTGCAGCTCCGTCACCAGTCGGCACCACAATTTTGAGAGGAGCTTCCGGTGGTGGTGGGGATGAGAAGCACAGTGCGCTAGGAGAAGACTCTATGGCAAGGGGAGGGTTTTCCAGTTGTCTCCAAAATTGATAGTGCTTTCAGTTATGACAGGTAGAGGAAAAAGTACACCGCACTAGGAGGAGACTTTATGGTGAGGAAAGTAAACTTCGGTCAGCTCCAGAATTGAACAGGGGGCTTCCGGTTAGGACCTTTGTGGCTCCTGGTGTTTTCTTTTCTGTGGGAAATGGGTCCAAATGGCTCTTTGAGTATTTAAGTTTACCGACCCCTGGGCTAGTCAAATTAAGAGTGAATTTGTATCCCTCCCNTCTGTCTCTCTCTGTTTCTCTCTCTCTCTCTCTCTTTCTTTCTTTCCTTCTTTCTTTCTCAGCACCCCCCCCCCCCTGGTTTTGGCCTAGCAGGCCTCAAGGAAGCCTGCTGGGAGCAAAAACAGACCCCTCACCCCATTTTTGGCTGTGCAATGTGCGATCGTCAGAACTTTTTTTAAAAAAACTTTTTTTTAGTATTTTTTGCTACCAGTTCTGTGAACCAGTAGCACTTTTTACTACTGGTTCGGGTGAACTGGCCCGAACTGGTAGCATTTCACCCCTGAACAGCGGTAAGATAAAATAAGCTAAAGGCAACCAATACAAGTGCAGGTCATGACATTTGAACCTAACCTGTCACCATTAAAAACAAGTTTGGCTTAGAGTAAGGCAAGCAACTAACCACAGTGGCATTGAATGCCGTTCCTAATGCAGACTTACTTCTAAGGTGCTGTCCCCAGCCAGAGAGTTCTTCAGCATAAAATCCACATCGCCCAGTTCATTAGACCCAAATGGCATATGTCTCCGCCGGCTTTGGGCCCACTTCCAGACAAAGAGACCAACTAATATCATGAGAATCAAAACAGCAAACAATGGAACCAGGACCATCAAGAGAAGGTTCTTCAAAGGTAGATCCTCTTCAATCGGACTGTCATCTGATTGGAAAAAGAATCCATTTAGTTACTACGGCTTTTTATAAAAAATAAAACTTTATTAAATTTCAAAAAAAAAATATACAAAATACTGTACAAAAAAAAAAGAAATTAGAGGGAGAAGAAGAAAAGGACAGGGAAAAAGCAAAACTGGAGAATGCTGACAAGAAAGGAAAAAAGCTGTAGAAAAAAGTAATTCCTGACTTTTTTGGGTATAGATGCAAACGTAAAATACAGTGACCCATTGAGTTAGAATCAACCATAACACTTGGTACTTCTATAGCCATAAACAAGGCCAATAATCAAATCCCAGTGTTAAAGTTGGATACTACTGCTTTTCTGATGGCAATGGGTCCTATTGACTAACCATGTATGGCTTCCCAGTTATTCTAAACAAATAGAAATATCTCTCTGGGAAGGAGGCATCAGAATTTCTTTACTCCATAACTCAAGGATGCCATACAGTCTTCGAATTTTCATTTCCTCTGACAATATAATTAACAAGAAAGAGCATTAATATGGTGTCTTGTTGTTAGTTGAAAAGTAGTGTCCGACCCATTGCAACCTCTTAGACAACATTCCTCCAGGGCTTCCTGTCCTCTACCATCCTCTGGAGTCCATTTAAGCTCATGCCTACTGCTTCGGTGACTCCATCCAGCCACCTCATTCTCTGTCGTCCCGTTCTTCTTTTGCCTTCAATCATTCCCAGCATTAGGCTCTTCTCCAGTGTGTCCTTCCTTCTCATTGGTGGCAAAAGTATTTGAA